CCGTGAAATATTGCTGCAATATTGCTTGAAGTGGCGTAAAACCATACTCACTCAATCGTCAATGGTATAGACCTGATTAGACCAAACATGAGGAAGTCCAGGTAATTCACTTTCATATCCTCAATACCGGAACTACAACTATTATAGATTGTTAAGATTATACCGGATTTACGAGGGGTGATTTGAACATTACTATTATTATGCTTACCCTCAAACATCAGATTGGATTTGATATCTGGCAGATCATGACCCCCTAACCAGACCACACAAGTCCGTCTGTTAGGTTCACGGCTGGTTCACAATATTCCATGAATACACATTCTATTACTTAGCATAACTGACATTTCCGGAAAGTCTGCTCCGGTTTCCCTCATTCCATGTTTGGGGAAGCTTCCTTTGAAGATCAGTTTGCTCTTTAGCCAGACTCCCTTCATATGATGCCTGATACGGTAAGAAATAAAACCATAACAATCGAATGAGTGCTACAGGTTGGAAGGTATCTGAGTCATCTTATCTCTAAACAAAATACAACTTCTTTTGGGCAGAAATGCATACCATTTACAGCGGCAGAGGAAGTCCCAAATTCGTTTCACATCCCGCGAAGCTTTCATTGAGATTGAGTTATATTTTGGCACTGCAAAGGCTACCTAGCCACCAGAAAGTAGAGTGATGAGATTAAACGAGACATGGCTGAATTTTGTCAGGGTACGAAAAGCGATAGGTATCGATATCTGACAAAAAGTGACAACCACTGGTGAAAGAACGCTGGAGTTACCTCATGCCTAAATACTCATCCCAATTCTTTTTGATGAATGTGAAATGTTACGAAAAGCCCCATATGCGTTTTCGAAATATTGCTATTTAATGGACAGTTGCATCATAAACCTCGCAAGTCGTTCCTCCTCCTTGAACCTATGGCAGTCATAGAAAGTAAAACATCAACCAAACTTTCACCTTTTTTCCTGTTTTGAACTCAACTTAACGGTAGATGTGTGTTTAGGTGCATCCCACTCCCAAATAGTTTTGTGTATCATTGCGATGTTGTATTGACCCTTTGACTTTCTAACCGTATTAAACTATTCCCTTTGTTCACGTGTTCCATCTCCTTATATTGTACAGCTAAGACTCCAGCACACGTCTTAATGTTTCTTGTACGGCTGCTGCCATATTAAAGGTTAAAGCACTATTAGCAACACCTCTAAGCTGATTGTCGAGGCGGTGTGAGATACCCCGGATCGCTGCAAGAAACTTTAGAGTATCTGAAGACTTAATGCAGAGTTCGAAATGTCCGCTCGAAATTGCTTCCCGTTATGAATCGGGCCAGAGACGATGGCAAAACTGTCTAACTTATGTTGAGTTGGTGATCGACGGATCTGTGTTTGTGTTTGATGAGGGACACGATGGTCTTTGTGATATAGGACAAAGACGTCACCGGATCTCACAGACAGTCAACCCCAGAAACAGCTTCATTTGGGTGTGCTTCTACACTACTGCTCGGGGTGTTACCATTAGGGCTGTGTAATATTACCGGTAAACCGGTATATACCGGTACAGTATCTCGCGATACGATTATCGCGATATGGTTCAGATTCTGCAATATATTGGGTCATCCAGAGTTAGCTCCCTTTGCATTATCTGCCCTTGATTTCCAAAGCAAAAAAAGTGCCAAACATTCTTTTATCTCTGTTGGTTTCATGTAAGATTTTACAAGTGGGATAATATGTATAAGTGCGTCCAAAAGTGCCAAATATTCTACCAAATGCGTTACGTCGTTTTGGAGGAATGAAGGGACCGCTCATAATTTATGGCTTGGGGGTAGCATAATTTTAATATTATCGTTATATACAAACTTGCTGCCCCCAACCCCCACCCCCAGTGCGAGTGTATAAAATTGCTGACCCCACTAGCTCCCCAGAACTAAGTAGGTGGGAACCGAGAGCTATTATGAATTTATGGTGTACGCACTTGGGCAGAAACCGTCCATCCAATATGTCACAATATATATTGCAATATCTCTTAAATTATTGCAATATATCGCAATATGAGAATCAGGGCAATATCCAGCCCTAGTTGCCATGGCTACAGTTGTAAACAGGGCACCGGTTACAGTAAGTTTACACTGAAACACTGTTCAACAGTTGTTACTAATTGTATGATGCACCAGGAAGTCTGAACGACGAGGATAGATGGTGCAACAACTAATACAATCCTTGGAAGAAAGTCCATGTTGCTTAACACAATGGGTCTGTCTGAACCAAATGTTTCAGACAGGAATGATCAATCCGTCAACATTGATGACACAACTAAAATACAAATGTACATATTCACGCCTTTAGATAAAGAGTTGAGTGTTTTCATTATATTTTATTTTGTAAGATTATAAAATATTATTTTAAATTATTTGTCTCTTGGAAACTATAATGTGTAAATGCAATGTGTTACACAACTTATGGAATTATATTATGTTTTAATATAAGGCAAAGCGTTCCGGTTCTTGAGGAGATTTCTGTTTGTATTGAAATCATTACAGTATTTTGAACGAGTGTACTCTCAATGGGATGATGCCCTGGGATTTATTTCCAGATTCAAACAGGAATTATCTCGCTGCAAACATTCCCATTGTTTGTTTCCATCCACCCTGACGTTTCTCCAATATATGATAACGGAGAGACTAGTAACACAGACAACTTAGAACAACAGTTTGTTTCTATTATCCATTAACATGATGGATGAAGGGCTTACTGGATTGAAAGGTTCTCTTCCCACTAATACATAACACATCTCAGAGGAGTTTCCTCAACCACTTTCCATTGGTGATTTTCATTTAAATACCTATGAATTGAGTAAATTACTTGGCGGTCACTTCGTCAATGGTAGGGGGCGGTGGGGTAGCCTAGTGGTTAAGGCGTTCGCTCGTCACGCTGAAGACCCGGGTTCGATTCCCCACATGGGCACAATGTGCTAAGCCCATTTGTGGTGTCCCCCGCCGTGATATTGCTGCAATATTGCCAAAAGCGGCGTAAAACCATACTCACTCACTCGTCAATGGTAGACCTGATTAGACCAAACATAGGAAGTCCAGGTAATCTTACTTTCATATCTCATACCGGAACTACAACTATTATAGATTGTTAATTATACTGATTTACGGGGGTGATTTGAAATTATTACTATTATTATGTTACCCTCAAAGACCAGATTGGTTGATGCTCTGGCGGATATGACTTCTATTGAGACCACAAGTCCGTCTGTGGGTTCACGGCTGGTTCACAATATTCCATGAATATACATTCTATTACTTAGCATAACTGACATTCCTGGCCCGTTTCCGGTTTCCCTCATTCCATGTTTGGGGAAGCTTCCTTTGGTCAGTTTGTTTCTTTAGCCAGACTCCCTTCATATGATGCCTGACCGGTAAGAAATAAAACATAACAATCGAATGATGCTGGTGAGTATCTGAGTCATCTTATCTCTAAACAAAATACCTTCTTTTGGGGCAGAAATGTACACCATTTACATGGCAGAGTAGTCCCAAATTCGTTTCACATCGCAGTTTTCATTGAACCAGTTATATTTTTACAAAGGCTACCTAGCCACAGAAATGAGTGATGATTAAAACGAACATAATGAATTTTGTCAGGGTACGAAAAGCGATGGTATCGATATCTGACAAAAGTGACAACCACTGGTGAAAGAACGCTGGAGTTACCTCCCTTAGACTACTACACCAGAAATACAGATCGCTGATTTTATTGCCTGGGACCATTGTATAGAGCGACCATTGTGATAGTGAGCGGAATGTAAAGCGAATGTAAGATATCCACGTTGACCTTGCATATACTCAGACGTACCAAAGAAACACGCAGTTTAAAGAAACTATGGTTTGTTTTGGTTGTTGTTTAACGCCGTTCTTGGCAATATTCCAGCTATCAGATAGTAAGAAACTATAAGATACTAGGTAAATACATGCAAACTTTCAATAGAAATAGCTTATCAAATTACAGACAATCCCATTAAGTCTACATACTATTCGTAAGAAGTCGGCACATCTTCTATTGAACCACGCGTCGTCGGATTACGCTCATCATATCAATCACTGGTTCACTAAGAACAGCCTTGACCAATAACATACATTAGGGATATTGCTGATTTGGTTTCAAATAACAAATAAGCTTAAGAATAAAAACAAACAACTAAAAATCGTAAAGCGTATGTATTATAACAATACACATTAATTTGATGGATAACAGGTTCTTTTGCAATAGGAAAACTCTTTATCAGGCACATGTTCTAGATGTTATTTCAAGGCATCTGATTCTCTCTGAACGCGCCTCTAACCGACTCGCCACATACGCTATTTAAACGGAAAGTGGCGGACTTTGCCGATTGACATCCATGTCAACATGTTAGCACGGCAGCCATTGTAATATTCGCATACTTTGTATGCTATTACTGCTTCGTGGCAATAGCGAGCTGACACGAAATATCAAAGCACATGTCGGTGATGAAAATAGGGTGTGTGTCATTGTTTACATATCGCCAATGTAACGACGATTTTCGTGTCTCGAAACTGCTTAAATAACGTGTTTGTTCACTGAAAGTAACGATGGCCGTTGTTCTGGTGACGTATATTTTCCCATAGTATCGATGAAAATGCTATGAAAAAATTCTAACCACCCGTTCTTGGATTTTCCTATAGTAAATGTATGGCGCGTCTCCCTGCAGCGAAGGCCGCCATTCGGCAGTGGTGGCCTAGGTCAGTGTCGGAGCGTAGCGCAGGCGCAACGGACCCAGGGAACCAGGCTGGTATTAGTCAAGTTCGATCTAAGTCGATGTAACACGTATTCTGATTGGATAGAAAGAAGGGAGACAATTTGTGTTGCGATTTTGTGCCGCTAGGGGATTTTATGAGAACCGGGAAATGTGGCCGTATTAGAACAGAGGTTCGTAGGAAGATATGACAAGTAACCTCTGTGGGAAGAGAATGACCACACGGGGGATGTTTTGAAGAAAGAATGTGCGCCAGCTCATGTGCTAAAATAGATCCGGAAAATCCGACCGTACTTAAAGCTGACACTGGGCTGAACGGTGAGTAAATCATTTTAAAGCTCACTGATGATTAACATTTCCTTGTCTTCAAATAATACAGAATCTTTAATTTAACTAATGGTTGATGTAAGTTGAAAGGACCGAGGTCTGTGGAGTTTGTGTAAGTAGGTTATATAATGCATTCTAATGCTGATTTCGTCGCCGTCACGGTTCATGACTAGAATCTCGGCTGATATTTATGTCTCTATAATACATCTATATGGCATTGTTTCATTCTCTTAATAGCAACCAATACTTTACTTTAACATAATAAGAAAACTTAATATAAAAACCATTGAAATAATCTTTGATATCTCGCGAATGTGAAATCGAAACTAGGGACTGTGTCATCAACAATAAATATACACACACATTCATCTCTGCTTCCAGTTTGTATTTTTCTTCCGTGTTCAACTGCGTGGTGGATATAGCTGGTTGACAAGTGTGTTCTGACTGCAGATCTCTTCAGCCAAATCGAAGTAGAGACACACATGGGTAAGTACTACGAGGTGGGCTAGTGGGGTGGGAAGTGTACCGTGAAACCAGTTTGTGATGTGTAACTCTCTCCATGTCTAAATATGGTGTTGATTTATTTCCTTCTTTGTATTTATTGTTGGGTCTTTGTTGGTCAACATTTCTAACGCATTCGATAGATCGGAGGGGTCGGGGTACTTGGAAGATTGGGAATGAGAACTGTGGGATGTCAGTATTCGAAGACTGGGGTGAGGGGTGTGGGTATTCGATAGTTCGGATGAAGGGTGTGAACTCGTACTCGATAGATTGGGGTGAAGGTGTGGGTAATCGTTGATTGGGGTGAAGAGTGTGGGTAATCGTTGATTGGGGTGAAGGTGTGGGTAATCGTTGATTGGGGTGAAGGTGTGGATAATCGTTGATTGGGGTGAAGGTGTGGATAATCGTTGATTGGGGTGAAGGTGTGAATAATCGTTGATTGGGGTGAAGAGTGTGGGTAATCGTTGATTGGGGTGAAGGTAATCGTTGATTGGGGCGAAGGGTGTGGGTAATCGTTGAGTGGGGTGAAGCGTGTGGGTAATAGTTGATTGGGGTGAAGGGTGTGGGTAATCGTTGATTGGGATGAAGAGTGTGGGTAATCGTTGATTGGGGTGAAGGTGTGGGAAATCGTTGATTGGGGTGAAGGTGTGGATAATCGTTGATTGGGGTGAAGGTGTGGATAATCGTTGATTGGGGTTAAGAGTGTGGGTAATCGTTGATTGGGGTGAAGGTAATCGTTGATTGGGGTGAAGGGTGTGGGTAATCGTTGATTGGGGTGAAGGGTGTGGGTAATCGTTGATTGGGGTGAAGAGTGTGGGTAATCGTTGATTGGGGTGAAGAGTGTGGGTAATCGTTGATTGGGGTGAAGAGCGTGGGTAATCGTTGATTGGGGTGAAGGGTGTGGGGTGTCGATCAGTACTCAAAATACTGAGGAGAGAGTGAGGGTCCTCGATAAATCGGTTTTGTGGGTACTCGATATAATGTGGGTGAGAAACTTCACAGATTGAGGATTACAATTTTTTATGTAGGTGTTCAACAGGGCCACATTCACCATTTCATTGACCTGGTAAAGCTTTATCAGGGATTATCGTTAGATACTGACACTTTTCCTCATCAAAGTAAGGCTAAGTAGAAGCCAAATACGCTATAACTATCAACAGCGACACACAGATAACACGTTGATGCACCATCGAATGACGAGAAAATCAGTTGCCTCAATACCTCATTAAAGGTATTCATTCATCTCGTGAGTGCAATAGTGAAGTGACTAAACTCTCTGCCCACACGTCGGGGCCAGCATCGGTTCCCCTGTTGTAGATTTAATTAAACCTCACATGCTACAGTTTATTAAACCCCAAATTGTACTCTCTAGTAAACCCGAAATGTTACAATTGCAGGGCTCCAGATAACTTTTGGGGGGGTGAGTGTACTTACACATCATATTGCAAGTGAAGGTGTACTGAGAATTTTGAAAGAGTACCGACATGTTTTTGTGTGAGTGAGTTGATGTGGTTTGTCTGGACGATTCATCGATCACTATTTCCAACCATGTAATTGTATTTGAAGACGCGTGAGAAATAACTGAGCGACCGTGTGATGCGCGAAATGTCATGTCCGACTGGATATAGATAGGAACAGTGTGGTTTTTTAGCCAATCGAAAAATAGTGACGCATATCGTTGCATGGCAACGCAAGGGATTCCTACTGTCGGGGTTTCCTTATGTGTCAAATCGTGTTTCGCAAAAAGAAACTGAACAAGTATTTATCCGAAATAGATTTCCATTTGCACGATACGCACGGAAATTAAATGTTAGACGTACGAAGGTATTTATGTGCGTACACAATACGCTTGAAATCTTATATTATGTCGTACTTAATTGATTTTGAGGCCCCTTATCTGTAGCCCTGAATTGATTCAACCCCGATGGAACAATTCATTGGACCCCACACGGTACAATGCATTAAACCCTACATGGTACAATTAATTGAACCTCACATGGTACAACTGATCAAACCCCACATGATTCAAATCATAAAACCCACCTGACACAATTCATTAAACCACATAAGGTACAACTAATTAAACCCTACATGGTACAATTATTTAACCCTACATGATACAATTCATTAAACCACACACGGTACAATTAATAAATCTCCTCATGGTAAATTAAATCAAACCCTACTCAGTACAATTAATTAAACCCCATATGGTACAATTCATTAAAACCTACATGGTAAAATATTCATCAAACCCCACACGGTACAACGTAACCCAGCCGGAACATTGTATTGTCACACAGTACTTCTTCTGTGTACCTTCCCAATGAGGCTCCATCGTTGAGCAATACTCTCACGACTACACATTACATCTGTCTGATTGGTTGCAGCTTCATCAGGTAGGAAGTGGGAGTGTCCAGCTTGTACCCTGATCAACCTGCCTGGCAGACGCTACTGCTCCGTATGCTACGCCCCTAACCCCGCCTACCATGTGGATCCTCCCCCCAGAGATGACTTCCTGTTCGGGGGATCAGAGACAAGTTTACCCGGAGGTCAGCGGCTGTCCTGTACACTTCACCAACACACTTAAACCGATACTATTTAAATATGATCATTCTGTGAAGAGCTGATTTACCTGTTAAACATGAAGGCGCTAATTTGAGGCGAACGTTTGGTTTTGAACTAATAAATAAGCGGTTGATTCAAGGGTAAAATAGATAAGTCGAATTTCTGATACATTATTTAATTTAGCTTCACGGGTGCACTATAGGTCATGAGGAAATATTCTATGTCATGTATATTTATTTATTTTTGTCAGACACAGGTATATTATTGAATGTTAATCATCATTAAATTGAAACGTGTGAGGGAAAAAAGAGCCCCAATCAGAGTGTGACGCACTGGTTGTGACGTGTGATGCATTGTTCAGGTTAATGATTGAGGGAGGGCACCTTCACGAATGCTCTGAATGAAATACAAAATATTGAGATAATTATTTAGACATCTCATCTCACCCTCAGATGTTTCAATTAATTATCTTAACGTACAGGTACAGTCTTTCATACCACTTAAAAATTGTTTTTACATTTGGCTACCTTTTTCATTTGTTTGGTCTGGAACGCTAAATTTCTTAACCTGGTACCAGAAACAACTTTAGCGTTGTATGCACAGATTCGGCTTTCCTTGTGTATGTTGCAAATTAACTATGATTATCTTAGATTCATTGTTAGAAAATCACGTCTTTCGGAAGAAGCGATTTTAAAAATAGCATATCCGTGTCTGGATCCGTTTAATGCAACCAAACAACAGTGCATACTGGCTCGCTTGTAACGACAGGGAAGTGATCACTCGACATGTGTGTTCGCTTTTGAATGAGTATGGTTTTACGCCGCTTTATGCAATATTTCAGCAATGTCACGGAGGGGGACACCAGTAATGGACTTCTCACACTGTACCCATGTGGGGAATCGAACCCGGGTCTTCAGCGTGACGAGCGAACGCCATTAGGCTACCCCACCGCCCCGTTTTTGATGTAATGACGTTGTAGTTAGGGAGATGTGAAGTTGGGTTTAATAGTCGCGTTCGTAGCGACGTGTGCGTGCGTATGCGCGTGCGTGTGCGTGTGCGTGTCAATGTGTGTATCTGCTATTAATAGTACGGACTAAAGCGAACTTTATGCCCTCCAGTCCTTGTTCTATCTCCTTATAATACACCAGGCGGGGTAACAACAATTGCCTCTTGGAACGTATTTTGGTTTGACACGGTGGGGTCGGGTATCGAACCCCACCCTTCCGCTTTCCAGAAAATGCTTTGTCCACCAGACCACGGTCTCTCCATATGCCTCGTGTTGAGGACGCTGTGATATAAATTCCTTGTTAATTCCATATCAGAGTGGACATGTGGCCGGTGCACCTACATCAACACACACATTGTACCCATGTGGGGAATCGAACACGGGTCATCAGAGTGACTACCGACCAGCGAACGCTTTAACCACTAGGCTATGCCACCGCTCCAGTTATATGTTGAACTGCTTCTTGTATTCCAGGCGCTATGGTCGACCAAAGCAGAGGCTCCTTCTTAAACAAAGAGATCCGTATTGTTCTTATTGGGCGGACAGGCTCGGGGAAAAGCGCTACAGGGAATACCCTTCTCGGTACGGACTTGTTCACTTCCAGGGCCGGAGGGTCGTCTATCACCAAGAGCTGTAAAGGTGGAAATGCTACCAGGATGGGACGCTACATCAACGTGATCGACACCCCAGGGTTGTTTGACACAGATATGACAAATGTTGCTATTACCAAGGAGATTGTTAAATGTGTTGGGATGACCAGCCCAGGCCCTCATGCTATCGTGCTGGTCACCAGGATCGACCGGTTTACCAAGGAAGAGCAGGATACGGTGGATCATTTCAGAGACGTGTTCGGAGATGGCATGATGAAGTACATGTTTGTGTTGTTCACGAGAAAGGACGATCTGGATCATGAAAAATCTAACATAGATGAATATGTGAAACATGTTCCAGATAAACTCCAACAGATTCTCTCGGCGTGTGGTGGACGATACATCGCCTTTAACAACAATGATCAGCAGTGTGAGAAGGAGGAACAGGTCAGTCGCTTACTGGACATGATTGACCAGAATGTCCGAGCAAATGGTGGGAAGTACTACACGAATTCGATGTTCAGGGAGGCCGAGGCAGCAATGGTGAAGAGGGAGGAGGTTTTCAGGATGGAACTGGAGGAGAAGAAGAGGCGAGAGAAAGAGGCTATTGAGAGGGAGTTCCAGAAGAAGTACAACCATGACATGTCTGAACAGCAGGAGATCATTGAACAGATGCAGATGAGTATAACCGCAATGGAGGCTGAAAAGACGACAAGGAAAGGTAACTCTGATGTCTCAGAGCTCCGGAAGCAAATCGCAGTAATGAAGAAAGAAGCCAAAAAAGAGCAAGAGAGGCGCAGACGACGCCACAAGGAAAGGATGGAGAACCTGGAACGGAAGAATAGGGACTTGGAGAAACGAGCGCGGGAGAGAGCACGGGAAGCTGTTGAAAAGGAGGAAGAGTCTTCTCTTGGGGAGATATGGAAAGGAATCAAGCACTTTGGGAAGGGGCTTTGGAAAGGAATTACAAGCATATTCTCATAAAGTTACATAGAAAATGAATGTCATACTGATGCTGTATGACTTTAAAAATACTGTTCGCTGTATGTGGACATTGTGGTCTTAATTATGTATGTTCGTCTTGATTTGCGACACGCTTACAAGAGTTACCAGTCATATTGCTATAGCACAATTCGTGAGTTAAGTTTGGTTTGGGTTGCAAACTTCATCAATGTTTTTTAAATGTCGCTTAGGGCTGGGCAAATTTCATAATTTCACAAAACGTTAACTCAGTATAGAATTCTTTATCACTGATGTCAGGTCATGGTAAGATGGAGAACGTAAGTGAATGTTTCTGATATTCAGGACAAACGAGAATGTGACACATCCCTCCAGAAGTCGTTCGACCTACCCGCTGTGCATTTACACATCCACTTTTAGCTGATGTACATGCACCCTCTCTGCTGTAAATAATGTCTTACAGTCAAGTAATGATGTATGGGATGTATGGGGATTCACTTTTAGCTGATGTACATGCATCCTCTCTGCTGTAAATAATGTCTTACAGTCAAGTAATGATGTATGGGATGTATGGGGATTCACTTTTAGCTGATGTACATGAATCCTCTCAGCTGTAAATATTGTCTTACAGTCAAGTAATGATGTATGGGATGTTACTGATGCCATGAATATGGAACTGTTTCAGTTCGGTGAAACACCGTTAACATGAAACCCGTTTAAAACGGACAATTTTTTCAAAAACATCTATCGAATACAAAGGAACATTGTCAAAGCCAATGATTTGCTATTACAGAAATTTGTAATCCGAACATTTAACTACAAACGATACGGTCTGGAATAGCGATGTTTCATCAACAAACTATGTTTTGACTGTATTCCAGCACAAGTATTAGGATAATACATATGGCAGTACTGATGCAAACTTTAAAAGAATGTCAATTATAACATATGCTTGAACGTTAATGCACCTTTGATGTGAAGGTACTGTTATGTTGTTTCCATGTTGATGCTCTGTGTGTAGATGGAATAGAGAAACCCTATATATCTACCCAGCGGTATTGCGTACATCTTCATTGCCCATTAGAGGGACAATGGGGCTAGCCGACTGGTTAAAGTTTTCGCCCGATGATCCGGGTTCGATTCTCCCACATGGGTACAATATGTGAAGCCTATTTGTGGTGACTCCTGCCGTGATATTGTTGGAATAGTGCTAAAAGATAAGGTAATGTCTATACCGCAAGGACACGCTACCTATAACCATTTCAACTCTTTTAAAAGAGAGGCACCTTTGGAGAACATATATATGTCAATACGTCCTCGATATGTCCAGGGTATACGGTATCGGAACGTATACCCTGGACATATCAAGGATGATGTCAATAGTGATTGATAGTATATTATGTTGTTTATGTAGGAAATATATTTTGGAATAAAAGACATGATACGATCTTTTAGCGGGAGTGATGCAGTAGTTTATTCCCAATATATTGGCCACGACTCGAAAACAGAAATAATACTACCTGCATCGATCGTCCTTTGGCACACCATTGAGTTATCCCACAGATGAGTTAGTGAGTTTACGCCGCACTCAGCAATATTCCTGCGATATGGCGGCGGTCTGTAAATAATCGAGTCTGGACCAGACAATCCAGTGATCAACAGCATGAGTGTGTCAACCAAGTCAGCCGATCCTGTTAGTCGCCACTTACGACAAGCATGGGTTAATGCAGATCAATTCTAACCCGGATCTTCACGGGTCTATCCCATAGATGACATCTTTAACCTCAGTGATCATGGGGGCGTCTGACCTTGGATTAGAAGGTCAACGATTCGAATCTCATAACGGGATTCAATTTTTTTTCGGCGGCTATAGTACAATTTTATTCCGAAAATAATTCAAGTTGTAAATTGTAATGTTTAAGAGATCGCAGAGTTAACTGATCCATTCGTGAGCCATGTGTGTTCACACATTCAAGATGGCTAAACTTAAGGAGATGTTGACTTATCGAGTCAGCATCGCATCAATGTGAAAATAAGTTCCTGCCTGCTGTCATGTTTACATGATGCAGCGCGAAGCGGAAATGGTTATCGCATATCCGGCTCGGCTGTTCACGACATCTGTTTTTTTGTTTGTGAGATCCTTCTATGGCATTGTTAACACATTGCGGGGACAGCCCTCATTAACTTGAACACAAACCACCTTTGACATACATAAATAGTGTAACCTGGTTTGTCCGGAGCCCGATAACCTAGTTCCCGTGAAGATCCGGGTTAGAACTGGCCTTCAACAGCCGATGCTTTTTGAAAGCGGCGACTACCGGGATCGAGTGGTCAGGTGCACTGACTTGGTGACACATGTCATCGTATCCCAGCTTCGTAGATCGATGCTCATGATGTTGATCACTGGATTGTCTGGTCCAGACTTGATTATTTACAGACCGCTGTCATATAGCTGGAATATTCTTCTTGACTTCCTGTTGTCACAGCGTCATCTTGACATTTGTTGCAGGACTTACGGGGGTCAGACCCCTCTTCGTCTTGCAGCAGGGTGGGGTTCGGGGATGTCGTTTCCACCCTCCTCGCCAACGGTGCAAACGTCACAGAGATAGACGGTTCCGATGAGTCCAACGAAAATTTGTTTGATGACTTTTGTATCAATGACATGCACTTGCTTTGTAACAACCGAGAAGACGGAATGTACAGCTAGATAGATAACGTGTATATCTATCTCAACTTACTGTGACTAAGACTAGCAACATACCGTGGCTCGTTTGTTTTCTCGTTAGAAACGAGATGCTTCTCAGGCTTGCGTCAGTGTGTTTGTGTTCCGTTTATCAATCACGCGAGCCAATTTTATCACGGAATTAGAAGCTGACTCGTTTCAGAAGGCAACGTGCAAGAACAACGTCCAATCTCTGATAGATCAGTTGTTTGGTCAACATCAGTTGTATGATATTGCTAGCGATAAAGGTTTGAGTGATCTGTTATATCATTGTTATGACTTTGACATTTGTTGTTGTCCAAACAAGATTTACGTTTGCTTTTAAAGATCTGACAGAACAGAACAGAATTTTATTCTCGTAAACCATACATAATGTTATAGAGAACATACAATCGTTTATAATACAATAACATATGAGTAGGTATATTGATTTAGAAATGACTAAGAACAGTTTTGGTAAACAGAGAAAGTGTCAATAGGAGTGGGATATAATCTGATTTCATAAGTAAGATAAATTTGTCCATATGTGGATTATGGCAACAATAAGAGGGAAGTATCTTCTTACGTTTAACATTAAGATATGTACATGATAAAATTACATGGAATTCGCCACAAATAACATTATTTTTACAAATTGTACATGTTCTGTTTTCTAGATTAATATTAAACCATCACCCCGTTTCAATGGGTAATCTATGATTAGAAGTTCTTAATTTTGTTAACCAGATACGAAATTTTGATGGGAGATATAAAAGATAAGGTTCTAAAGCGAGTGAGGTTTGATATAAATGATAGTATTTTCCTTTAGATGAATTTTGAGCATCGGCATACCATGCATGTTTGAACTGGTCAATTTATGAAATTTTGACATGCTTTTAGTTGGTCGAAATCAGCATTCTGTAGAGATGGTCTACATTTCATAATGTTATAGAGAATGTGGGGAAATTTACAGGTTTCAGTTGTAACTTTACACCAGTAGCTGATGACTTTTACTTTTATGTGAACATCAATAGGACGCCCAATTCACCAAAAACCATACAATTTGGAGTAGATTGTTTTACTTTAAGAATATATTTACAAACCTTTAGGTGCGTTCTTTCCAAGAACTGTAAAGTAGGATTGGTAAGACGCATTGATCAAAGAGTTTTATTTGGCAATCGATTAGTATTTGTAATTTTTGGATAATTTTGAAGATGGAAAACATGGCTCTTGATGCTTGTTCCGAGAGTCCTTTAATTGCCTTTGAGAATTTACCATTAGCATTAAATAATATTCCCAAATATAGACATTCTCGAACAACCTAACATAGCCTTTTGACAATATCATAATCTTAGTTTTGTTAATGTTAACTTTAAGTTTCCATAAAACACAATATTCTGAGAATCTATCTAAAGCTAACTGTAAATCTTCTGCGTTTTCAGCTAGTAGAACAGTATCATCTGCATATATATAGTAAAACCAGTATTAATATACATACTAAGTTGTTCATCAATGAAGCTATTTACAAAAGTAAGACCTTGTACGTTGTTTTCACAGAGGAAAGACTCAAGATCATTTATGTCTAAAGCAAATAAAAACGGGGATAAATTCTCCCCTGTCTAACACCAGTGTTACATGAAAATAGGGGTGACGTGTCATTGTTAAGCTTAACACATGATTTGATGATATATGTTATGAATAACTATAAAACATTTTTTACTTACATTAGCCTTGATCAATTTCATCCATAACCCATTTCCCCATACAGTGTCAAAAGCTTTGCTAAAATCAATGAAGTCGCAGTATAATTTCTTATTAAGATTTTTGTATATCGATGAGTGATTTAAGTACGTAAACGTGATCAACAGTTGAAAAGGATTTACGGAAGCCTGCCTGTTATTTATTTATCAACTTTAATTTTGAAGCCTGTCCGAAATAATTGAGGCGAATAGTTTGCCCAAGCAGCTTACAATAGTAATACCCCTGTAGTTATCAGGATTTGATAGGTCCCCCTTGCCTTTGAAAATTGGTGTTATATAACTGTTACCCAAGCTTCAGGTACCACACCATTGTTTAAAACACAATTAAAAAGATTTACGTATGCAGACATCATTACACCAAGTGAGGATTTAATGTATTCGTTGAAGACACAATCAAGCCCACAAGCCTTATCGTTTTTAAGGGCTTTCACAGAACACGCAATTTATCTAACATTTCACACTCACCAAGCTCGCTCGTGTCAAAAGTTACAACATCAATTAGATCCACTTCATTCAGGCACTCAATATGATTGAAAAGTTTATCCAACTCAATATTGCTATTTTTACGTTTTGCTGAGAAAGATTTTAGGATACCCCAAAATGACTTGGGGTCTGATTTTGTGGCCAAACGAATTTTGTTTGACATGATACAGTCGTTGACTCAGTGTTGTGAGGTGTTCACGAAGGTTGTAGGACTATTAGCGCACTCTAACTGTTGAAGATTAATGCATGCCTGCATATAATCAGTGAGCAAGACATATTTTCCCAGTTGTGTTCTTATGGTTATATACATATCATGCATTTTGTCACTCATCCAGTTTTGCAGATGTATACTGGTGTAGGAATACTGGGTTAAATTATAGCGTAAGCATGGGGGGGCAGGAGCTTCATAACAGGATATTCAAACTATACGTACCACATGTAGAATAACTGTCTACCAGATAGTCTTGTAGCACATTGTTTCACTTGCTCTACTACGGGACAACTTCTTGTCCGGGGTTACCGTTCATCGTAGCGCTAGATACATTGGGTAGGCCACGTGGTTGGTGCTAAATATGTTGGGTAGGCTCTGATTGGCGGAGACGTCCGTCATCAGTAGGTGAACTTTGACCCATGTCAGAGGTCGTTCTAGAGCACTATATAAGTCACCTGGCTCTCTGGATTCAGTGTCTAGCTTTCGGTCATCCGAGCATCAGGTAATATCTCTGTCCCGAGGTCCTGTTTCAGGATCATTCCCTCCCCATTTGCAGAGTGGAATGTTAGGTTTTATGTAGGGGGATGCTAACTTCGTGTTAGGTCGGGTTGGGGGAAAAGTAGAAGTAGGAAACGGAATAGGTATTAAGCTTAAGACTTTGAGTAATGTCCAGTTAAACGGGGTTGGTTTGGGGTGGCTTTTCAGAAGAAGTTTCTCTATAGATTGTTGAGATGGGGAAGTTAGGTTCCTGTTAAACTAGTGTTAGGTCGGGTTGGGGGAGAATTAGGAGTAGGAAACGGAATAGGAATTAGGTTATAGACTTTGGGTAATGTCCAGTTAGACGGGGTTGGTTTCGGGAGGTTCTATTTTAAAGAGGTTATTGGTGTTTGGTGTTTTTTCTCACACAAAGCTGGTTTTTTTAATTATGTGAGAGAGAAGTGTAGTTTACAGACTGTTAAGGTTTTGTTTGTCTTTTGTAATAAATTATTATCAGTGTTATCTTGTGTCTGTTATTTCCCAATAGGCTTTATGCCCGATTTACGAACTGGTCACTGAGTTTTGAGTAGAGAACAGATTAACCTGAACGCACCCCTATAAAAAGAAAAGTACACAACGCAAAGTCAAAACAAGGTTGATTAAACATCATGTTCCTACACACTATGTAAGTTAACTCAGCTGTCACTGGCTGTGATTGTCTACTGAGAACCACACCTATTACACTGGTATACTATTTTCACATTCAATGTGACCCGTGAAGGTCCGGGTTAGAATATTGATCTTCAGTAACCCATCCTTGTCGTAAGAGGCGACTAACGGGATCGGGTATATAATCTCCTTGTACATATTTAATGTGTACCTACCGGCTGTGACTAGACCAAATGAGTTGTTCTTTACTTGCCTTGACATTGTCGATGACATATATGCTGCCTACTCAGAACTTGGTGAAGTAATTATCATGGGGGGATCTAAATACAAAAGTCAAATGTGCTCATTACAGATTCACAGAAGATATTCGATCAAGAAGAATGAACGAGACAATTCAAAGGTCAGGCCTTACTTCAGTGAACACTCTGGATCTCTGTTCAGGTCCAACTTGGACCTTCTGCTCTTATCAGCATGGACCACGCACTATGATTGACCATATCTTGGTGCCTGAGACGACCCTGAGTGATGTTTTATGTGCCCGTATCTTAGACGATGCCCCTTTCAATGTGTCTGACCACAACCCGGTCATCTGCACCTTGTCCCTGCCATCACCTCTACCAACACTCATGCGAGAGGGACGAGGGATTGTCTCATGGGAAAAGGCGCGAAGTCAGGACATGTTGAAGGATTATACCTTTGCTGTTTCCCATCTGCTGTGGAGTATTAAACCTCCCACAGAGGATTGTGAATTGACTGATATTGATGAATATTATTCAGCAATAACATGTACTATTTTGCATGCCAGCAGGGAGACACTACCAATGAAATCATTCAGGTCATTCCTGAAACCATACTGGAACAAAGTTGTGAATGATTATCATAATCGCATGACTGCTAAGCGTCGTGTTTGGCTTGCTGATGGCAAACCCCGTGACTTCAGGAAGCACATGAGGCAAGCAAGTGATAACCATATCTCACAGACTTTCCAAGAACTCGAACAATCCCATGACCTTGATATCCGGACCTTCTGGAATTGTGTGCGGTCAATCAAGTCATGTCTTCTATGGTTGAATATAACCGCCTTCCCGTGTTGTATTGTAGAGAGCTTTACATAAACCGGAGGGCGTGTTATTGAGCGTCTTGGTACATTTGTTTTGCTGCCTTGTATTGTAGAGAGCTTTACATTGACAGCACGACATTTACAGACCTCTTTCAAAATTGTTATTCGTTCCCTGTTTGGGGTTTACTATACGAGGTAAAGAACGTAACACTCCGTACTACTCTTGCTGCTTTGCCATTTTCTACCTCACAGATTTGTTTTTATGTAGAATATCACCGTCTTGTATTGTAGAGAGCTTTACACAGACGTGTGATTAAGAGTGTCTAGGTATGTCTTGCGGTCTAGTATTGTAGAGAGCTTTACATAGACAGTACGACATTCCCTAGCCTCCTTCAAACCAGATATTAGTATTTAAGTATTGAAGTATTTAATGGCACGCTAATGGTGAGGTAAAAAACATGTGTGCGAGAGCAATTGAGATTTATGTTTTAGTTTGACGGACGCACTCGGATTCTTATTGCCGCCATTTGTGTGTCGTCACAGGGATGGTCAGCTCATGACCGTCTCCGTGACGTCAGTGTAGTAGCCTATTTTCGAGGTTGCGTCACAACCAGTGACGTCACCACCTTCGTTTGTAGGTCGTGACATCACGAGACCTACCGTCGTGACGTCAAACGTGTATGACGTCAGTGTGGTTGCACATTTCCGAGGCTGCGTCACAACCAGTGACGTCACCACCTTCGTTTGTAGATCGTGACGTCACGAGACCTATCGTCGTGACGTCATACGTGTATGACGTCAGTGGGGCCGCACATTTCTGAGGTTGCGTCACGTTACGTCACCTCGGAAATGTGCGGTCCCCTTACTACTCCATGTACATACATTCTATTACTTAGCATAACTGACATTCCTGGCCCGTATCCGGCTTCCCTCATTCCATGTTTGGGGAAGCTTCCTTTGGTCAGTTTGTATCTTTAGCCAGTCTCCCTTCATATGATGCCTGACCGGTAAGAAATAAAACATAATAATCGAATGATGCTGGTGGGTATCTGAGTCATCTTATCTGTAAACAAAATACCTTCTTTTGGGGCAGAAATGTACACCGTTTACATGGTAGAGTAGTCCCAAATTCGTTTCGCATCGCAGTTTTAATTGAACCAGTTATATTTTTACAAAGGCTACCCAGCCACAGAAATGAGTGATGATTAAAACGAACATAATGAATTTTGTCAGGGTACGAAAAGCGATGGTATCGATATCTGACAAAAGTGACAACCACTGGTGAAAGAACGCTGGAGTTACCTCCCTTAGACTACTACACCAGAAATACAGATCGCTGATTTTATTGCCTGGGACCATTGTATAGAGCGACCATTGTGATCTGATTGTCGTTAGTGATCGGAATGTAAAGCGAATGTAAGATATCCACGTTGACCTTGCATATACTCAGACCTACCAAAGAAACACGCAATTTAAAGAAACTATGGTTTCTTTTGGTTGTTGTTTAACGCCGTTCTTGGCAATGTTCCAACTATCAGATAGTAAGAAACTATAAGATACTAGGTAAATACATGTAAACTTTCAATAGAAATAGCTTATCAAATTACAGACAATCCCACACAGTCTACATACTATTCGTAAGAAGTCGGCACATCTTCTATTGAACCACGCGTCGTCGGATTACGCTCATCATATCAATCACTGGTTTACTAAGAACAGCCTTGACCAATTACATACACTTGGGATATTGCTGATTTCGTTTCAATAACAAATAAGCTTAAGAATGAAAACAAACAACTAAAAATCTTAAAGCGTATGTATTATAACAATACACATCACTTTGATGGATAACAGGTTCTTTTGCAATAGGAAAACTCTTTATCAGGCACATGTTCTAGATGTTATTTCAAGGCATCTGATTCTCTCTGAACGCGCCTCTAACCGACTCGCCACATACGCTATTTAAACGAAAAGTGGCGGACTTTACCGATTGACATCCATGTCAACATGTTAGCACGGCAGCCATTGTAATATTCGCATACTTTGTATGCTATTACTGCTAGTGTGATTTTCCGGCTTTGTTGGATCGCAGAACGTGTCGACGTAGCTAGTTAGTTGGAACACTGCCAGGAAAAGCTGAAGTCATCACACCACACGGGGATGTTTTGAAGAAAGAATGTGCGCCAGCTCATGTGCTAAAAATAGATCCGGAAAACCCGACCGTACTGAAAGCTGACACTGGGCTGAACGGTGAGTAAATCATTTTAAAGCTCACTGATGATTAACATTTCCTTGTCTTCAAATAATACAGAATCTTTAATTTAACAAATGGTTGATGTAAGTTGAAAGGACCGAGGTCTGTGGAGTTTGTGTAAGTAGGTTATATAATGCATTCTAATGCTGATTTCGTCGCCGTCACGGTTCATGTCTAGAATCTCGGCTGATATTTATGTCTCTATAATACATCTATATGGCATTGTTTCATTCTCTTAATAGCAACCAATACTTTACTTTAACATAATAAGAAAACTTAATATAAAAACCATTGAAATAATCTTTGATATCTCGCGAATGTGAAAGCGAAACTAGGGACTATGTTATCAGCAATAAATATACGCACACATTCATCTCTGCTTCCAGTTTGTATTTTTCTGCCGTGTTCAACTGCGTTGTGGATATAGCTGGTTGACAAGTGTGTTCAGACTGCAGATCTCGTCAGCCAAATCGAAGTAGAGACACACATGGGTAAGTACTACGAGGTGGGCTAGTGGGGTGGGAAGTGTACCGTGAAACCAGTTTGTGATGTGTAACTTTCTCCATGTCTAAATATGGTGTTGATTTATTTCCTTCTTTGTATTTAGTGTTGGGTCTTTGTTGGTCAACATTTCTAACGCATTCGATAGATCGGAGGGGTCGGGGTACTTGGAAGATTGGGAATGAGAACTGTGGGATGTCAGTATTCGAAGACTGGGGTGAGGGGTGTGGGTACTCGATAGTTCGGGTGGAAGGGTGTGAACTCGTACTCGATAGATTGGGGTGAAGGTGTGGGTAATCGTTGATTGGGGTGAAGAGTGTGGGTAATCGTTGATTGGGGTGAAGAGTGTGGGTAATCGTTGATTGGGGTGAAGGAGTGTGGGTAATCGTTGATTGGGGTGAAGGTGTGGATAATCGTTGATTGGGGTGAAGGTGTGGATAATCGAGGTTGATTGGGGTGAAAGTGTGGGTAATCGTTGATTGGGGTGAAGGTGTGGATAATCGTTGATTGGGGTGAAGGTGTGGATAGTAGTTGATTTGGGTGAAGAGTGTGGGTAATCTTTGATTTGGGTGAAGGGTGTGGGTAATCGTTGATTGGGGTGAAGGGTGTGGGTAATCGTTGATTGGGGTGAAGGGTGTGGGTAATCGTTGATTGGGGTGAAGGGTGTGGGTAATCGTTGATTGGGATGAAGAGTGTGGGTAAACGTTGATTGGGGTTAAGGTGTGGGTAATCGTTTGATTGGGGTGAAGGTGTGGATAATCGTTGATTGGGGTGAAGGTGTGGATAATCGTTGATCGGGGTGAAGGTGTGGATAATCGTTGATTGGGGTGAAGGTGTGGGTAATTGTTGATTGGGGTTAAGAGCGTGGGTAATCGTTGATTGGGGTGAAGGGTGTGGGTAATCGTTGATTGGGGTGAAGAGTGTGGGTAATTGTTGATTGGGGTGAAGAGTGTGGGTAATCGTTGATTGGGGTGAAGGGTGTGGGGTGTTGATCAGTACTCAAAATACTGAGGAGAGAGTGAGGTTCCTCGATAAATCGGTAGTGTGGAAGTTGGGGGATTAGAATATTTTATGTAGGTATTTAACAGGGCCACATTCGCCATTTCAATGACCTTGTAAAGCTTTATCAGGGATTATTGTTAGATACTGACACTTTTCCTCATCAAGGTAAGGCTAAGTAGAAGCCAAATACGCTATAACTATCAACAGCGACACACAGATAACACGTTGATGCACGCACCATCGAATGACGAGAAAACCAGTTGCAAATACCGCATTAAACATTCACCTCGTGACTGCAATAGTGTAGTGACTAAACTCTCTGCCCACACGTCGGGGCCAGCATGGGTTCCCCTGTTGTATATTTAATCAAACCCCACATGCTACAATTTATTAAACCCCAAATTGTACTCTATAGTAAACCCGAAATGTTACCATTGATTCAACACCCATGGAACAATTCATTGAACCCCACACGGTATAATGCATTAAACCCTACATGGTACAATTAATTGAACCTCACATGGTACAGGGGCGGTGGGGTAATCTAGTGGTTTAAGCGTTGGTTCGTCACACCGAAGACCCGGGGGGTTCGAATCCCCACATGGGTACAATGATTGAAGCCCATTCCCGCCGTGATATTGCTGGAATATTACTAAAAGCGGCGTAAAACCAAATTCAGTCAGTCAGTCAGTCACATGGTACAACTGATCAAAACCCCACATGATTCAAATCATAAAACCCACCTGACACAATTCATTAAACCACACAAGGTACAATTAAATCGAACCCTTCATGGTACAATTATTTCACCCCCACATGATACAAATCATTAAACCACACATGGTACAATTAATTAAACTCAACATGGTAAATTAATCAAACCCTTTATAGTACAATTAATTAAACCCCATATGGTACAACTTATTAACCCTACATAGTACAATTATTTAACCCTACATGATACAAATCATAAAACCACACACGGTACAATTAATTAATCTCCTCATGGTAAATTAATCAAACCCTTCACAGTACAATTAATTAAACCCCATATGGTACAACTAATTAAAACCTACATGGTACAATATTCATCAAACCCCACACGGTACAACGTAACCCAATACGGAACATTGTATTGTCACACGGTACTTCTTCTGTGTACCTTCCCAATGAGGCTCCATCTTTAAGCAATACTCTCACGACTACACATTTCATGTCTGATTGGTTGCAGCTTCATCAGTTAGGATGTGGGAGTGTCCAGCTTGTACCCTGATCAACCTGCCGGACAGACGCTACTGCTCCGTATGCTACGCCCCCAACCCCGCCTTCCACGTGGACCCTCCCCCAGAAGATGACTTCCTGTTCGGGGGATCAGAGACAAGTCTACCCGGAGGTCAGCGGCTGTCCTGTACACTTCACCAACACGATTAATCCGATACCATTTAAATATGATCATTCTGTGAAGAGCTGATTTACCTGTAAAACATGAAGGCGCTAATTTGAGGCGAACGTTTGGTTTTGAACTAATAAATAAGCGGTTAATTCAAGGGTAAAATAGATAAGTCGAATTTCTGATACATTATTCAATTTAGCTTCACGGGTGCACTATAGGTCATGAGGAAATATTCTATGTCATGTATATTTATTTATTTTTGTCAGACACAGGTATATTATGGAATGTTAATCATCATTAAATGGAAACGTGTGAGGGAAAAAAGAGCCCCAATCAGAGTGTGACGCACTGGTTGTGACGTGTGATGCATTGTTCAGGTTAATGATTGAGGGAGGGCACCTTCACGAATGCTCTGAATGAAATACAAAATATTGAGATAATTATTTAGACATCTCATCTCACCCTCAGATGTTTCAATTAATTATCTTAACGTACAGGTACAGTCTTTCATACCACTTTAAAATCGTTTGTACATTTGGCTACCTTTTTCATTTGTTTAAATTTGTTAACCTAGTACCAGAAACAACTTTAGCGTTGTATGCACAGATTCGGCTTTCCTTGTGTATGTTGCATATTACTATGATTATCTTAGATTCATTGTTAGAAAATCACGTCTTTCGGAAGAAGCGATTTTAAAAATAGCATATCCGTGTCTGGATCCGTTTAATGCAACCAAACAGCAGTGCATACTGGCTCGCTTGTAACGACAGGGAAGTGATCACCCGACATGTTTGTTATCTGTTGAATGAGTATGGTTTTACGCCGCTTTTAGCAATATTTCAGCAATGTCACGGCGGGGGACACCAGTAATGGGCTTCTCACACTGTACCCATGTGGGGAATAGAACCCGGGTCTTCAGCGTGTCGAGCGAACGCTTTAACCATTAGGCTACCCCACCGCCCCCGTTTTGATGTAATGACGTTGTAGTTAGGGAGATGTGAAGTTGGGTTTAATAGTCGCGTTCGTAGCGACGTGTGTGTGCGTATGCGCGTGCATGTGTGTGTCAATGTGTGTGTCTGCTATTAATAGTACGGACTAAAGCGAACTTTATGCCCTCCAGTCCTTGTTCTATCTCCTTATAATACACCAGGCGGGGTAACAACAATTGCCTCTTGGAACGTATTTTGGTTTGACACGGTGGGGTCGGGTATCGAACCCCACCCTTCCGCTTTCCAGAAAATGCTTTGTCCACCAGACCACGGTCTCTCCATATGCCTCGTGTTGAGGACGCTGTGATATAAATTCCTTGTTAATTCCATATCAGAGTGGACATGTGGCCGGTGCACCTACATCAACACGGACTCAGCAGACCACTGCGGTATTTGTGGTTCAGTTAAACCAGGTCTGATCCGAGACCCTAGGCCTGTTATGGAGGAGACGGAGACAGATTCGCCAGGCTACACATTCGCTTCTCCAACATATCAAGGTAAACTATAGACTGGAGGATACTGTTTGGAGGCTAAATAACCATTTTATGAAATTGCTCCTCTGCGCAGTTACGAAGTTCTAATTCCCGTAGTTATTTTACCATTTTTCGCTAATTTGATTGCCAAGTTAGAAAAAATGCATTTTCTAATGTTCCAAGTTAGTTATACGTTCAGCGAGTATGGCTTTACGCCGCTATAAGCAATATTCCAGCAATATTACGGCGGGGGACACCGGAAATGGGCTCCACACATTGTACCCATGTGGGGAATCGAACACGGGTCATCAGAGTGACTACCGACCAGCGAACGCTTTAACCACTAGGCTATGCCACCGCTCCAGTTATATGTTGAACTGCTTCTTGTATTCCAGGCGCTGGGGTCGACCAAAGCAGAGGCTCCTTCTTAAACAAAGAGATCCGTATTGTTCTTATTGGGCGGACAGGCTCGGGGAAAAGCGCTACAGGGAATACCCTTCTCGGTACGGACTTGTTCACTTCCAGGGCCGGAGGGTCGTCTATCACCAAGAGCTGTAAAGGTGGAAATGCTACCAGGATGGGACGCTACATCAACGTGATCGACACCCCAGGGTTGTTTGACACAGATATGACAAATGTTGCTATTACCAAGGAGATTGTTAAATGTGTTGGGATGACCAGCCCAGGCCCTCATGCTATCGTGCTGGTCACCAGGATCGACCGGTTTACCAAGGAAGAGCAGGATACGGTGGATCATTTCAGAGACGTGTTCGGAGATGGCATGATGAAGTACATGTTTGTGTTGTTCACGAGAAAGGACGATCTGGATCATGAAAAATCTAACATAGATGAATATGTGAAACATGTTCCCGATAAACTCCAACAGATTCTCTCGGCGTGTGGTGGACGATACATCGCCTTTAACAACAATGATCAGCAGTGTGAGAAGGAGGAACAAGTCAGTCGCTTACTGGACATGATTGACCAGAATGTCCGAGCAAATGGTGGGAAGTACTACACGAATTCGATGTTCAGGGAGGCCGAGGCAGCAATGGTGAAGAGGGAGGAGGTTTTCAGGATGGAACTGGAGGAGAACAAGAGGCGAGAGAAAGAGGCTATTGAGAGGGAGTTCCAGGAGAAGTACAACCACGACATGTCTGAACAGCAGGAGATCATTGAACAGATGCAGATGAGTATAACCGCAATGGAGGCTGAAAAGACGACAAGGAAAGGTAACTCTGATGTCTCAGAGCTCCGGAAGCAAATCGCAGTAATGAAGAAAGAAGCCGAAAACGAGCAAGAGAGGCGCAGACGACGCCACGAGGAAAGGATGGAGAACCTGGAACAGAAGAATAGAGACTTGGAGAAACGAGCGCGGGAGAGAGCACGGGAAGCTGTTGAACAGGAGGAAGAGTCTTCTCTTGGGGAGATATGGAAAGGAGTCAAGCACGTTGGGAAGGGGCTTTGGAAAGGAATTACAAGCATATTCTCATAAAGTTACATAGAAAATGAATGTCATACTGATGCAGTATGACTTCAAAAATACTGTTCGCTGTATGTGGACATTGTGGTCTTAATAATGTATGTTCGTCATGATTAGCGACACGCTTACAAGAGTTACCAGTCATATTGCTATAGCACAATTCGTGATTTAAGTTTGGTTTGGGTTGCAAACTTCATCTATGTTTTTTAAATGTCGCTTAGGGCTGGGCAAAATTCATAATTTCACAAAACGTTAACTCAGTATAGAATTCTTTATCACTGATATCAGGTCATGGTAAGATGGAAAACGTAAGTGAATGTTTCTGATATTCAGGACAAACGAGAATGTGACACATCCCTCCAGAAGTCGTTTGACCTACCCGCTGTGTATTTACACATCCGCTTTTAGCTGTTAATATTGTCTTACAGTCCTGTAATGATGTATGAGATGTATGGGAATTCACTTTTACTTGATGTTCATGCACCCTCTCTACTTCAAATAATGTCTTACAGTCCTGTAATGACGTATGGGATGTTACTGATGCCATGAATATGGAACTGTTTCAGTTCGGTGAAACACCGTTAATCTGGAACCCGTTTAAAACATCTACACGAATACAAAGGAACATTGTCAAAGCCAATGATTTGCTATTACAGAAATTTGTAATCCGAACATTTAACTACAAACGAAACGGTCTGGAATAGCGATGTTTCATCAACAAACTATGTTTTGACTGTATTCCAGCACAAGTATTAGGATAATACATATGGCGGTATTGATGCAAACTTTAAAAGAATGTCAATTATAACGTATGCTTGAAAGTTAATGCACCTTTGATGTGAAGGTACTGTTATATTGTTTCCATATTGATGCTCTGTGTGTTGATGGAAGAGAGAAACCCTATATATCTACCCAGCGGTATTGCGTACATCTTCATGGCCAAGAAGGGACAATGGGACTAGCCGACTGGTTAAAGTTTTCGCCCGATGATCCGGGTTCGATTCTCCCACATGGGTACAATATGTGAAGCCTATTTGTGGTGACTCCTGTCGTGATATTGTTGGAATATTGCTAAAAGATAAGGTAATGTCTATACCGCAAGGACATGTTACCTATAACCATTTCAACTCTTTTAAAAGTGAGGCACCTTTGGAGAACATATACATGTCAATACATCCTCGATATGTCCAGGGTATACGGTATCAGAACGTATACCCTGGACATATCGAGGATGATGTCAATAGTGATTGATAGTATATTATGTAGTTTATGTAGGAAATATATTTTGGAATAAAAGACATGATACGATCTTTTAGCGGGAGTGATGCAGTAGTTTATTCCCAATATATATAGGCCACGACTCGAAAACAGAAATAATACTACCTTCATCGATCGTCCTTTGGCACACCACATGGAGTTATCCCACAGATGAGTTAGTGAGGCGCACTCAGCAATAATCCTGCGATATGGCGGCGGTCTGTAAATAAGTGTGGACCAGACAATCCAGTGATCAACAGCATGAGTGTGTCAACCAAGTCAACCGATCCTGTTAGTCACCACTTACGACAAGCATGGGTTAATGCAGATCAATTCTAACCCGGATCTTCACGGGTCTATCCCATAGATGACATCTTTAATCTCAGTGATCATGGGGGCGTCTGACCTTGGATCAGAAGGTCAACGGTTCGAATCTCATAACGGGATTCAATTTTCTTCGGCGGCTATAGTACAATTTTATTCCGAAAATAATTCAAGTTGTAAATTGTAATGTTTAAAAGATAGCGAAGGTTCTCAATAGTCGAGTTAATTGCTCCATTCGTGATATAGTTCCAAAGGATTTACAGCCATGTGTGTTCACACATTCAAGATGGTTAAACTTTAAGGAGACGTTGACTTATCGAGCCAGCATTGCATCAATGTAAAAAGGAGTTCCTGCCTGCTGACCACATTGTCATGTTTTTGTCCGGAGCCAGATAACCTAGTACCCGTGAAGATCCGGGTTAGAATTGGCCTTCAACAGCCGATGCTTTTTGAAAGCGGCGACTACCGGGATCGGGTGGTCATGTGCACTGACTTGGTTCACACGTCATCGTATCCCAGCTGCGTCGATCGATGCTCATGATGTTGATCACTGGATTGTCTGGTCCAGACTTGATTATTTACAGACCGATGTCATATAGCTGGAATATTCTTCTTGACTTCCTGTTGTCACAGCGTCATCTTGACATTTACTGCAGGACTTACGGGGGTCAGACCCCTCTTCGTCTTGCAGCAGGGAGGGGTTCGGGGATGTCGTTTCCATCCTCCTCGCCAACGGTGCAAACGTCACAGAGATAGACGGTTCCGATGAGTCCAACGAAGATTTGTTTGATGACTTTTGTATCAATGACATGCACTTGCTTTGTAACAACCGAGAAGACGGACTGTACTGCTAGATAGATAACGTGTATATCTATCTCAACTTACTGTGACTAAGACTAGCAACATACCGTGGCTCGTTTGTTTTCTCGTTAGAAACGAGATGCTTCTCAGGCTTGCGTCAGTGTGTTTGTGTTCCGTTTATCAATCACGCAGGCCAATTTTATCACGGAATTAGAAGCTGACTCGTTTCAGAAGGCAACGTGCAAGAACAACGTCCAATCTTTGATATATCAGTTGTTTGGTCAACATCAGTTGTATGATATTGCTAGCGTTATAGGTTTGAGTGATCTGTTATATCATAGTAATGACTTTGACATTTGTTGTTGTCCAAACAAGATTTACTTTTGCTTTTAAAGATCTGACAGACCAGAACAGAATTTTATTCTCGTAAACCATACAGAATGATATAGAGAACATACAATCGTTTATAATACAATAACTTATGAGTAGGTATATTGATTTAGAAATGACTAAAAACAGTTTTGGTAAACAGAGAAAGTGTCAATAGGAGTGGGATATAATCTGATTTCATAAGTAAGATAGATTTGTCCATATGTGGATTATGGCAACAATAAGAGGGAAGTATCTTCTTACGTTTAACATTAAGATATGTACATGATAAAATAACATGGAATTCGCCACAAATAACATTATTTTTACCAATTGTACATGTTCTGTTTTCTAGATTAATATTAAACCATCGTCCCGTTTCAATGGGTAATCTTTGATTAGAAGTTCTTAATTGTGTTAACCAGATACGAAATTTTGATAGGAGATCTAAAAGATAAGGTTCTAAAGTGAGTGAGGTTTTATATAAATGATAGTATTTTCCTTTAGATGAATTTTGAGCATCGGCATACAATGCATGTTTGAACTGGTCAATTTATGAAATTTTGACATGCTTTTAGTTGGTCGAAATCAGCATTCTGTAGAGATGGTCTAAATTTCATAATGTGATAGAGAATGTGGGGAAATTTACTAGTTTCAGTTGTAACTTTACACCAGTAGCTGATGACTTTTACTTTTATGTGAACATCAATAGGATGCCCAATTCACCATAAACCATACAATTTGGAGTAGATTGTTTTACTTTAAGAATATATTTACAAAACTTTAAGTGCGTTCTTTCCAAGATGATTGAATTTTCATAGCCCCACACTTCCGAACTGTAAAGTAGGATTGGTAAGACGCATTGATCAAAGAGTTTTATTTGGCAATCGATTGGTATTTGTCATTTTTGGATAATTTTGAAGATGGAAAACATGGCTCTTGATGCTTGTTCCGAAAGTCCTTTAATTGCCTTTGAGAATTTACCATTAACATTAAATAATATTCCCAAATATAGACATTCTCGAACAACCTCATTTTCATCATTAAAAATTACAAATTTAAATTTATTTCTAACATAGCCTTTTGAAAATATCATAATCTTAGTTTTGTTAATGTTAACTTTAAATTTCCATAAACCACAATATTCTGAGAATCTATCCAAAGCTAACTAAATCTTCTGCGTTTTCAGCTAGTAGAACAGTATCATCTTCATATATATAGTAAAACCAGTATTAATATACATACTAAGTTGTTCATAAATTAAGCTATTTACAATAGTAAGACCTTGTACGTGGTTTTCACAGAGGAAGGACTCGAGATCATTTATGTCTAAAGCAAATAAAAACGGGGATAAATTCTCCCCCTGTCTAACACCAGTGTTACATGAAAATAGGGGTGACTTGTCATTGTTAAGTTTAACACATGATTTGATTTGTTGATACATGTTATGAATAACTATAAAACATTTATTACTTACATTAGCCTTGATCAATTTCATCCATAACCCATTTCTCCAAACACTGTCAGAAGCTTTGCTAAAATCAATGAAGGCGCAGTATAATTTCTTATTAAGATTTTTTGTATATATCGATGAGTGATTTAAGTACGAAAACGTGATCTACAAATATCAATTCAATGGACTCTGGGTAGTTTTGAAGCCTGTCCGAAATAATTGAGGCGAATAGTTTGCCCAAGCAGCTTACAATGGTAATACCCCTGTAGTTATCAGGATTGGATGGGTCCCCCTTGCCTTTGAAAATTGGTGTTATATAACAGTTACCCAAGCTTCAGGTACCACACTATTGTTTAAAACACAATTAAAAAAGATTTACGTATGCAGACATCATTACACCAAGCGAGGACTTAATGTATTCGTTGCAGACACAATCAAGCCCACAAGCCTTATCGTTTTTAAGGGCTTTCACAGCACACGCAATTTCACTCTCAGTAATAGGTTTATCTAACATTTCACACTCACCAAGCTCGCTCGTGTCAAGAGTTACAATATCAATTAGACCCACTTCATTTAGGCACTCAATATGATTGAAAAGTTTATCCAACTCAATATTGCTATTTTTACGTTTTGCTGAGAAAGATTTTAGGATACCCCAAAATGACTTGGGGTCTGATTTTTTGGCCAAACGAATTTTGTTTGACATGATACAGTCGTTGACTCAGTGTTGTGAGGTGATCACGGAGGTTGTAGGACTATTAGCGCACTCTAACTGTTAAAGATTATGCATGCCCGTATATAATCAGTGAGCAAGACATATTTTCCCGGTTGTGTTGTTATGTCTACCTATCACGAATTTTGTCACTCATCCAGTTTTGCAGATGTATACTGGTATACTATTTTCACATTCAGTTGACCCGTGAAGGTCCGGGTTAGAATATTGATCTTTAGTAACCCATGCTTGTCGTAAGAGGCGACTAACGGGATCGGGTGGTCAGGCTCGCTGACTTGGTTGACACATATCATCGGTTTCCAATTGTGCAGATCGATGCTCATGCTGTTGATCACTGGATTGTCTGGTCCAGACTTGATTATTTACAGACCGCCGCCATATAAATGGAATACTGCTGAGTAAAACTAAACTCACTCACTCACATTCAATGTTTTGAAATCTATTTGAGTAAGATCATAGCAGTGAACTAACATTTTATTTACAGGCAATATTTCCTTAACACTTGTTTATGCTCTTAGGAACTACACATGAGAATGCATTCTGTTGAAATATTGCGTTCACTGTGTGTCTAGGCCTACTCAAGTGCTAAAGGACTGTTTTTTCCAAACTGTTTCTTGTTCTCAATAAACGTGCTGATGTGTTGTGCTGCAATCCAATAGTGCAGTTATTTGTATGTGAAAGACTTCTACTTGATCCTATTGACTGAGCGCCGCAATTTTGCTCGAAGCAAATGCCAGCCATATTAGATGTGGAATCAGAGTTGGATATTTTGGTGACCTAACTCGGTCGCTTATGGCTATCTAGCCACGAAATACCAGCTTCGTTTGCTTGTAGTGGGTGTTTAAAGTCAGCTCACTCCCATGAAGATGGCCTGTGTCCTAACCCGAACTTCTAACCTCCTGAAGCATCCGAAGTTCAAACTCCGGAACTCTTGAAATAGTCAGCTTGGAATTGTTTACGGTACCTATCACTTTGCATATTATGTCTTACGTAAACAGACACATCTTTGATAGCCAACACATAAAATTGTTGATTCCATCACATGTCAGGCGAGTTTTCATTCTTACAATAATATGGACGGGGACCAAGCAAATTCCAGTAGATTAGCAACTGAAAGTGAATATATGCATGGGTCATAAGCGGTACAGGTCCGTCGGACGTTCTTCGTTTAGAGGTGAGGTGAAATTGGGTTTTACGTCGTGCTTGAGAATATTTCGCTCATATGACGACATGCATGCGTATGTGTGTGTATGTGCGGCTGCTTGTACTAGCCCAGACTGAAGCTGGTTTTATAGTGCTAGCCCACTGAGATACCATGCCGCAGTGAATCATGAATACCCCACTCGGACACATTATACCGACTCCGAGCCGACCAGTCCTTGTACCCATTAATGCCGAGCGCCAGACAGGGACCAACAAGTACCATATTTTAACGTCTTTTGGTATGACGCGGTCGGGGATCGAACCCGCGGCCTTCCGCTCTCCGGGCGGACGCTCTAACCACTACAGCACGGAGGCGGTCTCTTCGTTTAGAGAGTCGATTGGAACCACTGAACAGCATATTATCGGAGTACCTGTTAACGTACCTATTTGTAGTGAATGATGTCGTCCAATGACGTTCGTTGTTGGATACTGGTACTTCAATTCAGTTACAGTTGGAACGTTTCAACCAGGGACCGATCCATCGCACACCCACATTTCATGAAATTAATGGTCATGGATCCAGATTGACAATATTACGCCCGTTATGCATGTGACACTTTAAAGTAGCGAGTGGTATAATGTAACCTTTCATGTATGTAACACCTCAATATGAGCATTCAAATCCTCATCCAAGCTTGTTTTTCAACGACGTTCGAATTGAAGTAACTTCGAGCCATAAACATTTAGGTATAACTCTTCAAAACGATTGTACATGGGATATACATATAAACGATATCGTTAAGAGAGTCAGCCCCATGATAAATTGCTTAAGAAGCCTTAAATATCGACTAACGAGAAACACCCTAAATCGTATGTATACGTCGTTTATAATTCCGATCTTTGACTACTGTAGCCATATTTATGACAATTGTACCAAAACTCAAGCAACAATCTTGGAAAACATGCACTTAGACGCGTTACGTACGATATGTGGAGCTGTTCGCGGCACCAGTCACGATAAAATCTACGCTGAAACATCCTGTTTCTCTTCGCGAAAGAAGAAGAATAGCTAAACTAATCACATTTTTCAAAATGTATCATAACAGATTACCCCACTATCTAAACGAACTCGTCCCTCCCTTCGTCTCTCAAGTCAGTAACTATCCCTTACGTAACGCATCGCATTTGCAAACTATGGCCTACCGTACTGCTCTATATGACAATTCATTTCTACCGGACGCTGTAAGTTTATGGAATGCTTTACCGCAAAATATTAAATCTCTTACAGACATCAATGATTTTAAATCTGCTTTAAGTCATAGAGCTAAAGACATTCATTTCGATCCAAATATAGGTTCAAGAGTTTGTCAAATCCTCCACTGTCGCTTAAGGTTAGGATGTAGCGATCTCAACGCTGACAAACGCAACAGACATATATCAGAGAGAGCAGATTGTTTGTGTGGCCACCCTAATGAAGATGCACGTCATTATTTCTTTGTATGTCCCAGATTTGATGCTGTAAGAATAAATAAATTTTATTATACCAATGGCTTTTCATTAGAAACAATCTTATACGGAACGTCTTCCATGGACCCACAAATTCAATCACATATCTTAAAATCAGTCCATCTATTTATAATTGAAACTAGGCGCTTTAACTGAGCAAGCCATACACTAAAACCTATAATTCTCAAAGCTATACTACTATGGATCCCGACTGCAGATGCCATGAATGTATACAACCATCATGATTTGAAGTTTCCGACTAGATGTCATACCATCTACTTTCATTTTAGATATCATCTTTTCTTGTCATGATACTGTTTCATATATCTATGTATATTGGAGCGGTCTTCATATACGTTCTTTCGAGCTTGTTGACCAATCCAGTTCATGAAAATTCTGTCTTTGCTTTTTCAAGAAATAAATATGTTTAAATCATATGAGCATGAATTAAACATAACCTCCCATGCACGTAACATCTCAATGTTACCGCGAGTCAAATGTGGCCTGCCATGTATGTAACATCTCAATGTTACCGTGAGTCAATTGTGGCCTGTCATGTATGTAACATCGATCCCAATGTTACCGTGAGTCAACTGTGGCCTGTCATGTATATACATCTCAATGTTACCGTGAGTCAACTGTGGCCTGTCATGTATGTAACATCTCAATGTCACCGTGAGTCAAATCTGACCTTTCATGTATGTAACATCTCAATGTTACCGTGAGTCAAATCTGACCTTTCATGTATGTAACATCTCAATGTTACCGTGAGTCAAATGTGGCCTTTCATGTACATAACATCTCAATGTTACCGTGAGTCAAATCTGACCTTTCATGCTTGTAACATCTCAATGTCACCGTGAGTCAAATCTGACCTTTCATGTATGTAACATCTCAATGTTACCGTGAGTCAAATGTGACCTGCCATGTATGTAACATCTCAATGTCACCGTGAGTCAAATGTTGCCTTTCATGTATGTAACATATCAGTGTTACCGTGAGTCAAATGTGGCCTGTCATGTATGTAACATCTCAATGTTACCGTGAGTCAAATGTGGCCTGCCATGTATGTAACATCTCAATGTTACCGTGAGTCAAATGTGGCCTGTTATGTATGTAACATCTCAATGTTACCGTGAGTCAAATGTGGCCTGTCATGTATGTAACATCTAAATGGACTACATTATCTCATTCTTCATCAAACTAGGTCTAAATTATCTCATTCTTCATCAAACTTGGTCTAAATTATCTCATTCTTCATCAAACTAGGTTTACATTATCTCATTCTTCATCAAACTAGGTCTAAATTATCTCATTCTTCCTCAAACTATGTCTACATTATCTCATTCTTCATCAAACCTGGTCTACATTATCTCATTCTTCATCAAACTAGGTCTACATTATCTCATTCTTCATCAAACTAGGTCTACAGTATATATGAGATAATGTAGACCTAGTTTGATGACGAGTGAGATAATGTAGACCTAGTTTGGTGACGAGTGAAATACTGTGGACCCAGCTTCATGATGCCTGAAATACCGCAGACCTAGTTTGATGACACCAGAACAGTCGTTGATCATCTATAGTCATGTCAATTGTTTTGTCAATACTAGGTGACGATCCTCCAGGTCTTGACTTTGGTCGATATTTCTCTTTCCCTCTTGAAGCAGGGATCAAAGGACCTGCAATGCGCTTAGCAGAGTTACTTCTCTTAGGAGTGCCAGTAACCTATGCTCATGGATTAGAAATTGTCCTCCGCATATTTCTGGGTCATACAACACCGGGAACATGGGTTTTACCAGCGCAGTGAATGCCTAAACCTGCATCATATCGGGGGATCCTTCCACAGCAAGCTGATCGGGGAATCCCGGTCAAAACGGCGTCATATACCAGCCCGCTCAAATCGGAGGTAAGACTAATGTATATTTACATTACATACAAATTCCTTTCTGCCAACCGGGACGGGACAATAAACAGATACCCAATCACCCGACGCTCCAACCCGATTCGAAGAATCAAATAAGCGCATTAAAACGTTCTTAGTACTGCAGTGTGTACACAGCGAGGTTAACCAATCATTGCATATATCAATAGTACATACAGCGATGGTAACCAGTCACTGGATAGATCAATACGTACGTTAAAGACGACAAGGTAGTGACGCTTTCAAGATATGTTAATGTGATTCTACGAAGTGCCGCGTCAGTGATCATGGAGCCGAAATAGCTTTTACGTAAGAAAACTGATCGCACGGGCTCACACTCACATGTTCCACCCGACGAAACATGTAGCGCTCTGATTTCGGGTAAGTATGCTTGTTGCTAGTATCTTGCTGGAATACTTGCTTTGTATTTTAATTCTAACCTATTCTTATTGTAATTGTTGTAAATATTGACACTGACAGTATTTAAATGATATGTTCCTGTTGGGACTAATATTTTTTACGTTTTTCTTGCCTTGTTAAAAACGTATTTAGCTCACCTGGCCAGACATCAGAGAGCGTCATTTATCCGTCCATCGATCTTTTGTCGACAGGTTTTATAGTAAAAATGTATATAATTATTTATGTATAAGTTGTGTTGCTTGCAACATGGCTGATATACTACCGATGTGACTACACTCACTCACTCAATAACTTCCTGAACGGACAGAAGAGATCAACCTGTCTTTATTTGACTAAACTTGTGAAATATGTTCAAGATAACGGGTTATAAGATATATTTACTCAGATATTAGTAATGCAGCAACCATTTCCCTCTGCAATTCAACAGTGAGTTTCATGCCTGACGCGCAAACGTTTTATACATTCGATTAGCAAACTATCCAAAAAAACATTGAGGACTCGTCATGCGGCACCGGAAGATGGAACTTCGTTTTTAGCGATTCATGAATGACAATAAATGTTAAACACAATGTAATCTTTGAAAAATTAACCTCGAGACAATATGCAAAGTGAGCTGAACTTCGACTTGATTATTATGTGTGTGACAATGAGAATACCTTTCTATTTAACTCTTCTCTCAACTCTGCCGTACTGTTAACACTATTCGTAATAATACGATTACATATAACACGATTCGATGTCCGAAAAGATTCCATTTGGCATAACCAATTCGATTTCTCAGATTTTAGTACCCTTCCAGGGACGGATACAGCTTTTTGAGAGAGAGAGAGAGAGAGAGAGAGAGAGAGAGAGAGAGAGAGAGAGAGAGAGAGAGAGAGAGAGAGAGAGAGAGAGAGAGAGAGAGAGAGAGAGAGAGAGAGAGAGAGAGAGAGAGAGAGAGAGAGATTTCCGGTACTGAAAGGCCACAGGCTTGTAGTACAACACAATTATATATCAATATTTACACGCACATGTAATATACACGAAGAAGAGAAAATAATCGACTGTAGGTTACATTGTGTTCTGAGATATATTCTGTCCTAAACAACATGGCATAGTAAGCAATCATGGACAAGTTTTGAAGTATAGTATGGTTTTTGTTATTTTACAATGCTGAAAATTCATAAAGGTTTGGATGGGCACAATAATATTTCTTAATATACAACTTTCTCAGGGAATTATAAGCAGGGCAAATTAAAAGAAAATGATATTCATCATTCTTCTATTTGGTTAAGATCACATAGTTTGCAAGTTCTATTTTCTTTTTTGACATTTTAAAATCTTCCACTTTCGATAAATAAATCATGTGAAGAACATCTCAATCTGCTTAACGCTATCCTATACATTTTTACGTTTAGATATGAAAGATAAATTTCGGTGTCAAAAGTACATTTAAACATCTTATAATACACACATTTACTGGAAAGTGATAACTTTTTAAACCATTCTTGCAAATAGATATCTATTAATCTTCGTGTTAGTTCTAAAATAAACTTACTCTCAGAATCAACATACTGATCGTTCCATACAAAACCAAACCCTTTCGAGAACAGAAAATTTCTAACAGAAAAAAACCAATTTGTGTGTCCACTTTGATCGAATAGCATCATCATATTGTAACATTTCTTCGGTAGCCTATAAGAAGGCATCTTCAGTAATTTTAACCAGTATTTTATAACTCTGATATTTGAAAATAAGTGCATCGGGTATTTACCACATTCTCCATACACCATTGTATTCATCGTATTGGATTTAACACCAAGAAATCTTTTACGTGCTTTCAATTGAACTCTTTCGATATCATTGTCATAATTCAAACCTCATTTTTCGGCTCCATTGAATAAAATTGGCTTAATTTTGTCATCAAATATTTTAATGTGTGTGTGTGCGCACACTTCAGGACAAGAAAAGGGTGGTGGTCGTGCGCACCCCTGGGCCTAGATTTTCGAAACTCTCTAAGCGCTAAGATAGTCGTAAGTGCCATATATTAACATTAACTTACTAGTCCAGGAGGAGAATCTCAAAAGGGGCATAGAAATAGGATTTCGTAGCCTCCCCAGTACTGATTATGTTTGACACTATTTTCAGTTAGTATGGTGTCTTGGGCTCATGAAAAGGCCTGTAATACTCTCAGATTGTGGTATCAGTTTTTTTTTACAGGCGATTATGTGTGGTGGGGGTCTGCGAGCATTTTCGTCACATTTGGTTTGCTGCCCGACAACACCTCAAAGTTAATTTTTAATAGTTTTACTACTATCAGTCTGATCACTTTCATTTTGACCTCTGTGTACTGCTAAAGGATGTAGAAATTATTTGACATAATTTTGTTTTGAAAAAATATCAAAATGGCTGCCATTTTGGCCGCCATTTTGTTTTGCCGTGTTTTGCCTTCTCAGCACTTAAATTTACATAACAATGAACACTGAATGTTTCCATTTACATCCAAAGTTGATACTTTTTGATGTGTTTTGACACTTGTTTCTCCTAGAGTGATGGCTTGGGCACAAAACAAGTCAGTTTGTATGGTCAAAACATGGTAATTTAATGTTTTACAGCTTATTCTTTGAGACAGGGGTATTTGTGCAATTCTCCGACTTTTCATGGAAATGTGTGAGGGTGATTTATTTAATGGCAGTTAACATTATTTTTGTTCCTAAAACAAGTTGTTTTTGTTTTCTCTTTACTTCTAGAGTGACGGCATGTTATTAGGAATGTTTACATATTACCCAGAATTCAAAATGGCCGCCATTGTAGTTTAACTACATGTACTTATTGGAGGACTAAATTTGTACTGATATAAAATCCAAACAACTCATATGGTGTCTAATGTTTAATACAGTATAGGAATAGAGCTAAATTTCAATGATAGGGTCAATCAAAGCTTCACACTCCTAAAATATTTGATGAAATAACATTATCCAAAAGTGTTTGAAAACTATGCTTCATGGCCGATAACTACGTCTAAGCTTTGGTTGTAGGTATTCAAATTGTCCTATCAGATAACTCTTAATCACTTTTGATACATCCATAAGCTTGCAATTAACCCTCCTTTTCACTTTCTTTCATTTCATATGTTACTTCATGTCAGAATCGGACCTGTGAAGATCCGGGTTAGAATTGACCTTCAATAACCCATGCTTGTCGTAAGAGGCGACTAACGGGATCTGGTTGTCAGGCTCGCTGACTGGGTTGACACATGTCATCGTATCCCAATTTCACAGATTGATGTTCATGCTGTTGATCCCTGGGTTGTCTGGTCCAGACTCGATTATTTACAGACTGTCGCCATATAGCTGGAATATTACCGAGTGCGTAAAACTAAACTCACTCACTCACTCATGTCAGAATCGGAGTCATCTACTGGCCACAAGTCAAAAGGTGTTACCCATGCCTCTGTGCACACTATATCATTCTTTCTGCTGGCATGCTGACTTTTTGCATTTACACAATGTCAGTTCAACCAATCCACGGGGGAGCAGGATCTCTCGACATCAGAATAGCTGACATCACAAATGCTCCAACCATGGTCAACTGGTGAAAAAATGTTCATGATTGGTTGCAGAGACTGTTTTCAAACATGGACTTGGTAGTTTACTCGTTCAATGTGATGTTTTAGACTGTTGGATGTTGGTGGGGAGGTTTTCATTCAATATTTTGTGTCATCTACAGACATCACTGGATTATTTGGTACATGCATAGAACTCACAAACTGGCCACAAGATGTAATGAGTGTTTCTTGAACATCCAACTTGTCATCCATTTGTTGTGTGAAGCTACTCATCCCTGGGCTTTACAGCCTTTTTGGGAATCAATGTAGAATAGGTTTTCAGGTTCAGTCGATATAAAGGTGACCACAAGTTTGTCCTGGAAGAATTCAATCGACTACTTATGAAGTTATCCCATTGCTCTGCCCCAATCTGTTTAACATGCAAGAGGCTTTGAATCATATCCTTTGGGACAACAACTCCACTTCCAATGTTCACAAGATGCAGACATCATTCATTTGGAAGATTGAATGGATTTGTCATCAACCTTGATGTGAACATGGACATTTCTAGTGTTCATTTTACAATGGCTCATTCAGATGGAACATTAAGAAAGAACATCAAAAGCGGTTTGTTAAATGAACTTTATAAGGAAGCTTTTGGTCCTTCGCTGCTTATACTAGCAGAAGAGAGAATGTTGCCAGTTCATATAGTTGATGGAATGGCAAAATTGCAAATGTTCAGAAAGGGAGCTGCTTCCACATTTGGACACTTGGCTGATATGCATTGGGACAACTTCACTTCAATTCTGAATCGAACAGACTGCATTAGAGTTGATGTTGTTTGGGACAGGTATGCCAGACAAGAGTCAATCAAAGCAGGGGAGCAAATCAAAAGAGGATCGACAACGGAGCTAGAAGTCAAGATTGTTGGCAAAAACAAACCACTGCCAAGACAATGGGACAAACCCATTAGCAGTCATGTCAACAAATCTAGTCTTGTAGCATGTATGAACAAACGATGGTGTTCTGTTGGTCCAGCCATGCTACCTGTTGGTAAAGCCTGAGTCACACCAGTGTAGGTCTTAGGACGTCCTGCCCTGTCCAAACAATAACTGTGAAGTGAGCTCGAACGGGATAGAACGTGTAACTTTTGTATAAATTACAATGCTAATTTGATCATAAACAGTTCTCAGTACATCTGTCTCGTCTTTACCCCGTCCCCAGACAGTTGGTGTTACGTTTAGAGTGGGTAAAATTGCCCGTTCACCCCATGTGGACAACGTTTTCAAGCAGTCCAATCCCGTCCATAGTCACTTTATATCCCTTCTGAACTAAACCTATCTCGTTCTTAATACGCACAACCCCGTTCTAACTCATTCTTCTAAACCAACTCATTTTCAGGCACTTCTTCCCATTCTCACTAGTTTCTTACTCC